TCAACTACATCCAACTATTATAAGGGTAAAATATTTAATGCAACCTGATAAATTTTATAAAGTTGATTTTATTCTCAAATTTGTGTTATAATTATGTTTATTAAATTATTTTTAATAATAATGCTTTCTGCTTGAGGATCTATGTTATTCTTAGGATAGTATCACAAAAGTGAAGTTTAGGCATAGCTAATATCTTTATTTGAATTTATTCAGTTCCCATTTGTTGATAGGTTTTTAATTTTCATTAATGGTCCTTAAAAATCCTTAAAAGGACCTAATTTCCATCTGCAGGAATGTGTACGAACCGTGTTTTATTGAGCTGTTGTCGTTTACTTAGTTGCTGTAAAATATTGATTGGATTAGCTTTCTTTGCGCTTTGGATTGTGTTCTATTTAACGTTTTAGTAGTTTAAAATATAGCTGCTGATTATATTGTGTGATATTATACAAATGTCTTTGAGGAAAAATCCTTCATTTTGTTATTTATTCCTGTGATAATACATTTTATTAACTTTTTATCGGATTTGTGCATTCAGTCTGTAACGAACTTGACTGATGGGAGCACCACTGAAAGAAATGTATAGACTTACAGGTGACTATATCGACTATTAAAGGTAATTTTGGAGAAAAAATATCTTTTTTCTTTGTTAGGTTGGAAAATTTTCAGACAACCTACATATACTGTGGTGGCTAAAATTGTGGACACTTTTGGAAATTTTTATGGTTTTGAACTTTGTATGCTTATAGAAAATATTACGTTTCGCAAAATACAAACTTGTATACATCATTTTAAAGAGAATTTATTACTGAATTCAATACAAAACACAATTATTTGCAATACAAAAAAAGTTATATGTACTTTAATATAAATAAACACAATTATGAAGTGGTTTGTAATGTCTAGCTTTACTGGTATTCACTGTTCTTGTTCTGAGAACCAATCAAATGTTAGTAACTGCCAGTAGAAGCTGACATCATGTTTACACTTGAAACAATTCATTATTTTGCTTTGTTCTGTAGGAGGAGGACCTGTTTCTTATACACTGCAATTACAAGTAGGAATTTTTGTAAAAATTTTTAATATTTAGTCAAGAAGCAATGACATCAAATAAAAGAGTAGATTGAATACCTAGAAAGAGATGTAATATTATTGTGTTACGAGAAAGTGGTCTTTCCTATGCTGAAATTGCAAGACAGGTGGGTGGTTCAGTGACTACATCTGGAGTCCGAAAGTTTTGTTTACGATATCAGGAGACAAGTTCAATAAAAAACAAAGAAGGAAAAGGCCGAAAAAGGTGCACTACATCTATTGATGACAGAAGAATAAAAAGACTATGTCTCCATGATAGAAAAATGTCATCAGCGGCCATCAGAAGTGATCTGAATGATGCTGGTGTTTCTGTCAGTTAAAGAACAATCAGGAGAAGATTAACAGATGTTAGACTGAGAGGTAGAATTCCATGAAAAAAGCCTTATCTTAATTTTCAGGAAAAAAAAAAAAAAAAGACTTCAATGGGCAAAGGGACACATTACTTGGACAGATGATCAGTGGTCACAAGTTATATGGAGTGATGAAACTAAGATATCATTATTTGGTAGTGATGGGCGAAAATATGTAAGACGTAGAATAGGAGAAGAGCTACATCCTGACTGCATTCAAGCATCTGTGAAGAACCCAGTTAGTGGGTTAGTGTTATAATTTGGTCATGCATGTCAGCAGATGATATTGGTCGCCTTCATGTATCGATGGGACACTGAATGCCAGAAAATACATTGACACTATTCTAGAACCAAAACTTCTACCTTCCATGAAAGATCTCTTTCCCAACAATGCTTCGTTTATTTTTCAGCAGGATTTTTCTCCTTGCCACACGGCCCAAATATCGAAAGAGTGGTTTCGTACAAAGAGCATTAAATTGTTGTCATGGCCAGGAAACAGTCCTGACCTCAATCCTATCGAAAATTTGTGGCACCGTTTGAAAACTCTTGTCCGAATGAGGCACCCATCAAATAAAAGGGAACTAATTAAGGCTATAATTGTTTCCTGGCATCATGTAATAACGAAAGAAGAGCTTAAAACTCTTGTCAGCTCAATGAAACGTCGATGTGAAGCTGTAATCAAAAATAAAGGGTACCCTACTAAGTACTGATAACTCACTGCAATCATCACTATCTAATGTATATTGATACCTATTATTGTTTAACTTTTTTTTATATTGCAAATAATTGAATTTTGTTTTTTGTATTAAATTCAGCAATAAATTCTCTTTAAGCATACAAAGTTCAAAAACATAAAAATTTCCAAAAGTGTCTACAATTTTGGCCACCACTGTATACGTATGTAGCAGGTGCCACTTAATGGCAATCATGTATGTCCGTGACTATTTTCATAACATTAACCAAACACTAAAAATAACAATAAGAAAAATAGTTCTTAAACATTACAACAATGAAATTTACTTTACATTACAGTATTAGTATAATAAAAAATTATACATTACAGTGTAAGTATAATAAAAAACATATAAATAAGTACTCATTTTAATTAGGAAAAAGTAGAAGTTTATCAACCACAATGTTCATTTATGTACTTCTCATGAAGTTTCTAGAAATCATTTAACTGATGTAACTCTTAATATATGGAAGGTATTCCATGTTCAAAATAGACATGCAAATGTAAAATTTAAAATTCGGCAAAAAAGCAACCTTAGTTTGGCATAGGGAATTTTTTCAGGGCCAGATCTTGCTATTTTTTGGCAATAAACATATAATCTGGTGAATTCTTGGGAAGCTGTGTATACTATAGCTGCCATGTCTTTTTTTAGTAACAAACCCGGTTTTTGATCACATTACACAGTTTTAATTTTTTTAGTCTTTACTGGAGGAAATGTTTCGTTGCAGTAAATCAAATGTATTAAATTAATGAAAATTAAATAATGCAAATACCATTTCCCCACCCATAGTGGTTTTTAGCATAAATTTTTCTCACTAAATTTTTTGATTGAAGTGTTTATTATTTATTGTCTTAATCTGCTGATGACATTTCTTGAACTTTCTTTGAAGATTCAATCATTGTTACTCCATTAATAATTAATTTTGTTTTATGTAAGTTTATCATATATTACTAAGTTTATTCACACCGTAGTTCATATATTAATTGTCAACTTTATTTTCATCATATTTAAAAGATCTTAGATTAATGAAATCTTTCTTTTCCTGCTCAAGATTTTCTCAGTTAAAGTGACCTTAGCCAAAGATCACAAAGTTCAGAATATCTGACGAAATGATAATGTTTTACATCAGCTTCATATTATAAATAGTTTATTAACCTGAATCATGCATTAAGCAAAAATTTCCGCACAGCATGAAAACCTTCCACAACTGCCAGTTTTCAAAGTTGATAGTTATATGTGTTTGGGTGTATTTTGTTTTATTCGAAACAGTTGTTAAATTTAGTGTTGTAGAATTTAAAAAGTTATGGAGCTTTTGTTTGGAATAAGAAAAATTCCATGTATCCCTGCAGGAAAATTGCTTTTTTTATTATTACAGCCTCATTATTTAAAATGGTACCAAGATTATTGGTAAGTTTTAATTTAAAAAAAGTTAAGAAAACAAATAAATATACTGTTTTCGGCTGTCATGTTTCCTCAATGTGCTTTTCTTCTACTTGTATTTTTGATATTGCATGTCCATGCTTGAATGTGAGGTAAAATAGCTTCTTTCAAAGATAAATATAGATATAGATAAATATAGATAGAAAATTTTCTTTATCCCTTGGTAAATCAAAAATTGTTGGTGATTTTTTTCTTTAAAAAGAACATGATTGCTTTCTATGAATGCATAGCCTTCTCTGATCTTTTCTCATATTGAGGCACACTCTAAATGACTGTGATTAAGTCTGCCAGCCATTTAATGAGGATTTAGAACAGCGATTCCCAACCTTTTTTTTTTTTTTTTGGCCATTAACCCCTTTAAAGAAATGATTTTCTGTGCCCCCTTACATTTTTCTATACAGTATGCAGCATAATCATAATATAAATAATTGCACATAAATAACTTCAAGATAATAATTAAGTTTAAGATATAAGCAGAAGTTAATTTTACAAATATCATAAACAAAATCATATTCTAATTGCCCAAAAATTCGATTTTAATTAGTCTGATTGGTTACATTTGATGTATTGATGAAATCGCTTTATAAGTATGTATTAGGTATAAAATTGCTTAATTTAATTTTTAAATCATCTCATTTAAAAACATTCAACTTGTTTTTTGTTTTCTCTGTTTTGCATTCTTTATATTTTTTAATTGTGTTTTCTTGTGTTCTTGCATTTTACTTTTTTATATTGCATAAAATGTTCCTATTAAAAAAAATATTGATTTAAAAAAATATATCAAATAATTTTAGTGCATTTTTCTGTTGACATTTATTTTAGAATATTTTCCTTATTACATGATATAATTTCATGTCCATAAACAATAAATGATCAGTTTTATTAATAAATTTTTTGTAATCATTGGAATCTTGGTTATGCCAATCAGCTGCTAGCGCGTATTCAGCTGTCATCTCTTTGATAATCATTCATCCCGTTTAAAATTTCATAGACCCCTAGGAGGTCAATGCTGAACTTGCAGTTAATAATAATAAAGAAGTCTTGGAATATTCACAATAATTAGAATCTTTTACATTTCCCTGAGCTGCTTTTGATTGTATAGTGTCATGCAACAATCATATTTTGAATGATGCTGCTCCAGTTTGTAAACATTTCATTGTAATTCTTTATGATTGTTATGTGTTGGCCTACGTTTATTGCGTCTTCGATTATCGATTTTATACTCTGAAAATTACTTCTTTATTATACACTACCACTATAAAAGCATCTGATTCAGAATCGCCATACATGTTATTGCTTTATGTAAAATTATAATACAGATATACAGAATATATGTATTTGCTTTTATATGCAAAAATGTAACAGATATATCAAATTTCAATTACAGATGGCTCATGCTGTTGCTTTGAGGTTAAATGCAGATCCATACAGGCTGCAGTTTTTTAAAGCTCAAAAGTAAGTAAGCATTATTTCACTGTCTGTAATCTAATTTACTGTGGCTTGTATATGCTGTAGTAAATAAATATTGAATGCAGTGTTTTATTGAAATAGATAACTTAGAATACATAGTCAAATCCCAACAACGTTAAAATGACCAAATTTTAATTTAACTTCATGAATTTAATAAAAAGAAATTTACAGTATAACAAAAAAATTAATGAACATATGAAAATATATCAAAAGATGTAAGTAATAAATTAAATCATATTAGTGAACAGTTAGCTATGTGCAACAAATTTCCTGTGCCTTTTCAGATTCATCATGATGAAAGTTATACATAAATTATTTAACATAACTATCATAAGTATAATCGAAATGTTGATAGGTTTCCCATTGTTTTCCAATTTTAAGAACACGTTTGGTGCATCCTGATATCTCAGAATTTGGTGTTAGTGAACTGAAGAAAAGTTTTATATCTTCATTTCAAAATTAGGTGTATGTTTTTTCTAAAGAAAAATTGGTCTAGATGTAGTATGCAATAAAGAACTTTGTTAGCCCTGATGAATATTTAAAACAGTTGAATTGTGCTAGGGGATTTTGAAGCTATTTATGTATTCTTAATTATTTGTATTTATTTTAATATTTTAAAATAACATTTTTAATGGTGCCATCTAAGAAGTAACTAATTAAATGTGGTAGATCACATACTATCTCAATACTGAATTTAATTGAAGTGTCATAAAATTTATGTTAGTTATTATGACTATAATAAGTAATGAAAAAATTTCAAAGGACTGTTAAGGGATGGATGCTGTTGATCATAGAATCATATGCTTTGTAAATAATGGGCCATTTATTTTAACGCTGTTGTTATGAATTTCTTTAACTGTTTGCAGACAATTGTGCCATGTATCATGTTGCAGTCAGGAATTCATTCAAGAAAATAGGTAATGTGTGAAATGGGGCAAGCAAAAGAAGTTGAATTAGAAGTATTAGAAAATGGTTGTTGAAAATCTGTTTATTCAGAACATTAGAATGGCACTGATAATTGGCATTTCTTGCCCGTTGCAGTTGATATGGTCGCTTTTCTTTTTATCCTCTTTTCTTTAGAATGTAAAAACATTTATTTCTGCAGGAAACAAAAGTTTGGCTTTTCTTTCTAAGCGTTCTGTCATAAGAAAAGCTCTCGCCAGTTAGTCTGCAGCTGTCTGTTGCTGTAGAAACAAGCCTTGACTCGTTTTCTGTAAGGGTGTCTTGAAGATTTACTTTTCAGTTTGCCATCTTGGCGTATTTAAAGATGAATTAGCAACCCTTAGTTCTCCCCATTTGAAATATACTAGTCCTGTTGCTATAGCGACCGCGCTCCGCCAGACACTGTGGCAAGAGCTGTTCTGCTCATAGACAGACAGTAAATGTTCCATCTAGGGTAGATATTACTTCTAAGTTTTTTAATATATTATGTCCCCCCTGTTATTTTCAGGAGAATGTTTTTCATCTATGGAGAAAAATGTTAAGTATAGAAATAGGTAATGAAGTAAAGAGTTATAAAATTTTGCCTCAGTTGTTGCAAGAATCTTTTTATTGTAACAAATGGACAATAATGAAAGTGCACTTGGTAGTGAAGTTTAATGGAATAAATCTCTGACTGAAATAAGAAAGTAAATGATGATAGCTTAATAATTGAGAAACAGTTTAAGTAGTTAAGACATGTATACATGAAAGCTAGTTTCCCATAATAAATTATCTGTTTCCTCAATGCATCATATGCAGCTGCATATTAAATATATTTCAGTTCTTATGAGCAGTATTAATTTTCTAAATTCTTAAAGTATGAGTAAGGTAAAATTCATGCTGACATAAGTAGGATAATGAAACAAAAGTACAAAAATAATTTTAAAAATTGTAATTTTTACCCTTTTCTTTAAATTAGGCTTAATGAGAGAATTCTGCTGTCCTGTAAAGTAAAATCATTTGCAACAGTCTCTATCCTTATAACTAGTAGCATTTTTATCATCTATAAAGGGTTCATATGTAAATTGTTTGATACTCACCCCTTAAAATCATTAGCAGTAGACTGAAATAAAAAATTAACTGTGTATGTCATTGCAGAATAATTAGATGAATGTATCATTTAGAATCTTAGCTACCAAGGGATTTATTTAAATTGTGTGTATAGATGGCCATCCCAAAATGTGTTAATCCTTTGGCTGCGGGTACAGAATTAGTAAAATCAGAGAATTTTATTCATATGAAATCATTAACTGGAAATGGACTAATAAATTGAAAGAAAAATAGCAGTTGCAGCATTAATATACGTAGCGTATTCGGAAATTAAGTACCGTTTCATTCTAGCGCCGTCGCAGCGCTGTGGTAGGCGTCCCGCGCATGTGCACTAGTCTTTCTTGTTCACTGACTTTCAATTGTCGCCATTTTGGTTGCTCTATGTTGTGTTTTCAGTTTGCTGTGCACATTCAAAATGTTTAAGACAATTAGTTCTCCCGCTGACTGTGAGATTCGTGCCGTGATTAAATTTTTGAACGCGAGGAATGTTAAACCGGTCGAAATTTATCGTCAAGTGACAGAAGTTTACGGTGAATAAGTGATGGAATGGTGAGAAAGTGGGTAAGAATGTTTAATGCAGGTCGAACAAATGTCCACGACGAGGCTCGGAGTGATCGGCCTTCTGTTGTCACCGATGATTTGGTAAGGAAAGTTGATGGAGCAATTCATGAGAACAGCAGCTTCACTATGACAACTCTTTCAGAGGCATTTCCACAAATTTCACGTACTGTTTTGTTCGAAAATTGTGTCTGACCGCTTGAATTATCGCAAACTGTGTTCCCGATGGGTTCCAAAAATGCTCACTGATGTTCACAAACAAAGCAACTTGGTAGTGCCCTGACATTTCTCACGCGGTACAGTGATGAGGGAGAAAACTTTTTAAACCAATTGTGACAGGTGATGAAACTTGGGTGTGTCATTTCACACCAGAATCGAAACAACAATCGATGGAGTGGAAACACACTCGTTCTCCGAAAAAACAAAAGTTCAAAGTGACAATGTCATCACAAAAAAAAAATCATGTGCACTGTCTTCTGGGATAGGAAAGGCGTTTTGCTTACTGAATTCTTCCCAGACGTGAAAACCATTAATGCGGCACGATATTGTGAGACTTTAACAAAATAAAGCCTTGCCTTCAAAACAAACAAAGAGGAATGCTCAGTAAAGGAATTGGTTGTTGCTCCATGACAAGCTCGGCCCCATACTGCTGGTGTCACTCAATCGTTAATTCGACAATTTCATTGGGAGCAGTTAGATCACCCGCCATACAGCCCGGACTTGGCGCCATCCGACTATCACTTGTTCCTGCACATGAAACGCGAGCTTGGTGGCAAGCGCTCTGGATCTGACGATGACATGAAAAATGCTGTGGAGTCGTGGTTATCGAAAACTTGCGGGAAGTTTCTTTGATGATGGTAGACAAAAAACTGGTCACCGCTATGACAAGTGTTTGATCATTGGTGGAAACTATGTTGAAAAATAGTTTTAAGACATGTATTTTCATGTAAAATGAAATTGGAATCAAAAAAATTGTTTTACTATTTTTTTTTTTTTTTTTCAAAACGGTACTTAGTTTCCGAATACACCTCGTACCATAAAATTTTAATATGGAAATGATAACAATGTTCCCCTCGTTATACTCAGTATGAACAGGCTACTTGCTGCTCAGGGATCCTGCGTTATGCTATGCTTGCTTAACTGTGCTTGGCTTTAATGTGTGTATTGACAGTTTTTGAATGTTTTCAACATGTTAGAAATTAAATTTTTGTAAACGTTTTTACTTCCTTCTCCAGAGTAAAGGAAATATTGGAATCATGACAAATTTTGGGTATCATGTTTCAACAAAAATATCCATTCGGACTGCTCACGAATTTATTTGAACCATGTTTTTACTCGACATCTGTATGTGCGGACAGAATAAAGGCTGCTTTTTTCCAAAATGGATTCAGAAAGGATTCTTTCACGACATCTATATGCATAGATCTTGCATAACTCAAGAACAAGTAGTCTTAGAATGCTGACATTTTGTAAGATGTCAACATTTTAGAAAAAGAGTCCTTTATTGTGTCCGCATGTACAGATGTCACGGAAAAACATGGTTCAAATAGATTTGTGAGCAGTCAGAATAGATATTTTCGTGGAAATATAATACCCAAAATTTTTCAAGATTACATTACTTCCTTTATTTCGGACAAGGAAGTAAAAAAAGTTACAAAAATTTAGTTTACAATATGTTTCAAAATTAACATCCCAAAACTGTCAATACACACATTATAGCCAAGCATACTTAGCCTTCTGACCACGGGATCCCTGAACAATGAATTCCCTGTTTGTACTGAGAATTATGAAGGGAAACATTAACATGCAGTTCTGCACCTCCCTTTTTGGTTGCAGTCAGGTGCAGCAAATTTATACAAATATATTGTTACGTTTTTCTTCTGACACCAGTTGTTTCATTACTTTCTTCTTTCACGTTCGTACGGGTTTAGAGTGAATAATGATGACACTACTTGATGAAGTATCAAACACACTTTATTAGCCAGTACTAATCAGGGCAGCTCCAAAATCATGTTACAGTTGTCGAAGAACTACTATAAACTTGCTGACACAATCAGCAACACAGCCTTCAGGTTATCAGGCTATCACAGTGGAGACAGCGTCACTGCAAAGCACTGGAGTACAACTTCTGACTCTGCTTGGTCGTTCTCGGAACTCCACGTATTCTCGAGACTCTCCACGTGACAACTTGCAATGCACCACGGCTCCCGACTCTTCGGTTCAGTCGTTGCCAGAGCTCAATACGCTCTCTCGATGATGCACTAACCGCAATACACTAAGAGACTCCTTCGGTGAACTCAACGACACACTCGACACTCGCTGCCCAGCTGTCAATTCGATCTACTCCGCAGGGATTGACTCGATAGACGAGACACCAACTCAATACCGACTAACTCGCACTCTAGACGAGGCACACACGCCTTCTCGATGAGGTTAACTGACTGCGGAACAGCAGGTTTATATAGCTGTCGGCTTGTGTTCGAGAACATTCTGGGCTAAACTGGTAAGAATTCGTTCCAGAAGGTTCTCCATCAGTCCATGGCATATCGCCACTTTTGTCGCCAAATGGGTGATTTCTTGCCAAATATAGCAACACTGCATTCTCATTCTATTTTATGGCAACTCTAAATCTGTTTTGTGGGGAAGCTATCTCACCGTGCCTGTGCATTTCGTAACAATATGTATATGTGCACTCAGAAGGATTCAAGCCTCAATCATGAAACTCGGCAGGAATGCAGTCTGGTAAGAGATTTGCAAATGATTTAAATTTCAACGCCAATGAGACAAGGGTAAGCGTGTTATGTGCATATGATATGCACAGCTGGGAGAGTTTAAAAGCATGATTGTTCATGCTGTAGGGCTATTCAAGCGAATCTATCAATTGGATGGATGGTATTGTAACTAGAGATGCCTCTGAGATGTAACCAGCGGCAGTATGAACAGTTGTTAGACTTTGAGAAAGGGTGTATCTTCCACCTCCTTTAGATGGAGCGATATGGTAGTTGGCTCGGTGTTGGCGACAATGGATTGTAGAAGGAATCGTCTACTGTTTCAGAAGGTCAAGGTGTCCCAGGAATACGAATGAGTGCGAAGATCACACAACCATAAGAGCGGCTACCTTCCAGGAATCTGGGGGTATCAAGAGAAACCATTTGGAGACGACTGACCAAAACAAATATATGCTGCCGATTGTCCATTAAGATGCCTACCTCTGACCATACATCATACATAGGCAGTGTCAATTGGATTTTTGTCGAACTCAGGCGAGCTGGAATGTGACCGAATAAAGGCGTGTTATCTTCAGTGATGAATCGTGATTGTCTCAGTGCTGATGACCAGCGCACACATGTGGAGATTGGCCAGGCCATCAGTCTGATCCTGCAATTGTTGTCAAGCAGCATACGGCGATTACACAATGTGTGACAGTGTGGGAAATGATTTGTTGGAACACACCATCACCTCTAATCATCTTCAAGAAACTAACAGCTTCCAGTTATGTGGACGACATTTTAATGCCAGCTGTACTGCCTATATTATAAAGGCGCCCAGATGCAATTTATCAGCAAGGCAATGTTTGTCTACATACTGCACAACTCTTCCAACAGTGTCTTCAAGGATAAGATGTACTTCCTTGGCCTGCCAGGTCACCAGACCTCTCACTAATAGAGCATGTTTGGGACATGCTAGGAAGGCAACTACAGTTATACCAGATTAATGTTGAATTAACTGCCCAATTGCGAAGATTATGGCATGATCTTCTGCAAGGGTTCATAAATGAACTACTTGATTTAATGCCCTGCCGTGTTTCGGCTTGTATAACCGTCAGAGGTGGTTATACTACTTACTGATTTTTAACCTTTTTCATGCCATGACTCCTTAATAAAATTATATTTCATTTTGAATTTGTAATTAATTTTTTGTCTCTTCATACACTACATATATGTTAAGTTTCGTGACAGTAGTTCGTTTTCTTCTGGGTGCATATTTTTTTTTTTGTGACAAGAGTGTATATACCCACTCTGTTACCCAGTTCAATGAACTCAGTATTTCTTATTCTTATATGTTGGCTAATTGTGTATTTTTTCCTTTAAAAGTGATTGAATTGTATTGTTCTTATGTTCCGGTTAAGGTTTTTATGCCTTTAGTTAATCTGCATGCAATAATTGTAGAATGTTCAACAATTTAAAAGTTTTAAGTGGTGCTAACCCTATCGAGGTAGCGATTTCTTTGCATTTGAAACTAGAATAGTGAATTAAGTCAGTTAGTGCCTAACTTGAGTATATTTTGCTCAAGTGGGACTGCTAGCCAAATTGCTTGCTTTTGCATAGAAAATTTAATTTTAAAAATCTATCTTTTTAACTGTATTTAGTGTTCTATGTTTTTCTATATTTTACAATATTTAATGAAGTTTTTTTTAGATTTTATGCTTCCTTACCATGAAGTGAGAACTGAATTAGGTTGAATGAAAAATATCTCTCTGATGAAATTCAAGGAAATAAGTTTAAATGAAATGTAACAAAAATGTATTTAATTTAATAGACCATACAAGCGAGTTGTGGTGTCCACATTAGATATTGTTTATTTTTACTTTATAGCCACAGAGATGGCCCTGGTGCTCCCTTAAGGTGTACTTATGAGGGAACTCTAAAAGAACTTCTTGTAGCAGTTAAAGGTAGACAACCTAAAAAAATATATTATCAGCAGGTAAGTGTCATCAGTTTAGATGAAGTATAACATAAGCATGCTACTGTATTTTCATAAATTTTAAACCGGTTTAGGATATGTGTCTAATGCATGAGATTTTTTCATAAATATAGTTCATATATATACATTATTTTTTCATATATATATATACATTATATTTTCTTTAATACATATGTTTATGATAAGTTGTGTATTTAGCAAGGCTTAATTTGTTAGAGGTAAATAATAAAACATGCAAAATACCTAAGCTCATACAGTCAACTCTTAATTTACCAGGAATGTTGAGTCAGAATTGCAGTTAATCTGAAAGCAGTTAAAAGACACAGAAAGGAGAAATAAATCTTATTGTATTTTCTAGAAACAAAGTGTAAACAATTGTGGTAATTTAGGATTATAGTGTCAACTGTAGTCCATTGTCAAAATAGGAAAATTAGTCACCAAGCTTTGTTAATATAATCCCATAATTTTAATTTGCAGTGGATTTTATTTTGATTATGATGTTGTCTGTTTAGTTTAGTTTAGTTTACGACTATGCTGCAACCCTCCTGGCCGATAATAATCTCGGCCTCATGGTTAACGCAGCGCACCCGACGCAGACAAACAAACAAACAAAAAAAAAGTTAAAAGATTAAACAGATTAACACAGATTACGTATCTTTAAAAATACACTCACACAATACAAAAAGAAAATCATAAGCATAATTGGTTAGAAAACAAAAAAATAGTAAGACGACACATAACTCACTCATCCAACACATAAACTCATAAACAAAAGAAAAACTAAGATATTTAATGTTCTATTCCTATAATAGTCTTGTTTTCATTCAGAATCCTCATAATTTCTGTTGCATAGCTATTCAAGAATTTTCTTTTTTCAATTATATTCTGTTCATTTATTTTTCCAAATCTCATCCTCACACTCTCGGTCAGTTTACATTCTTCCATAAAATGAGCTGCATTTCCGTACTTCTCACAATCCAAGCATTGATCATTGCCCTGGAGATTAAAACGTTTTAAATAGGCCGGGAATCTACCATGATCCATAAATAACTTGAATAGTATCTATATTATTAAAGAGGTCCATTTTTCTTTTTATGGTCAAAATCCTCAAGTAACCCTTATTTTTATTTGAACCATTCCATTCTCGAGCCCATTTCTGAATTATACTTGCTTTCATTTTTCTCAAGGTAATTCTTCTGGAATCATTAAGAGCATCATAAATATCACCCTCTCCCAGGGCAGCCTCTTTAGATAGCATTTCCGCCCTCTCATTTCCGATAACACCAATATGTGCCTTGACTCAATGAAAATATATACCATTTTTCTCTCTTATTTTGTTATAAATGTTTTTTATATCCAAAAGAAGTCTATTGCTTGGTTCCGGATTTGCCAAGCCTTGTAGGGCCGAGAGAGCATCAGAATAAATATGTATTGTAAAGTACTGTTTTAAGTTTTTATAACTCCACCACAGTGCCTTTCTAATTGCAACTGCTTCAGTTTGATACACTGATTTATTTCCTTCTAATCATATTTTTCCATTATAGATTTTGATTCCGTAATAAAAGATAACAAAAGCACAACCAGTTCCACCTTCATGTCCGGAGCCATCAGTGTATATGTCAATCATGCCAGTATAGTATTCATATCTTTATCGTATGGTATACCCTTGAAATCTTTTGGATGTATATTAATAAAATCTTTTCCTGTCAAGGCATTACCATTTAAAACATCACCATTTTCACATGTTAAAATCTTTTTAAAACCATAGCTGATTAAAATTTTTCCTAATAAAAGTTATAAAAAATTGAGAGTGGCGGAATGCCAGCTAGTAAGCAAATAACTTCTGTAGAAACAGTATGGAAAGCTCTTGTGATTGCAAGCAGCTAGCTCCTTTGCAATGAATCTAGTTTAGTTCTCAGTCTAATTAATTCCCCTGCCTGGCAGCCCCACATGCCAATACCATATAAAATTTTTGGCCTAATAACATTTAAATAAATATCTCTAAGGGTGGTGCTTTTTAACTTTAAAGTTTGTGAATCAAAGGTACACTTCTATAATATTTTAAAATTTTCTCTATATCTCTGTGAATCGCCTTAAAATTTTCAATAGTTCAAGTTAGCTTTTCATCAATTTCTCCAAGATATTTAAAGTGACTTTTAAAATTAATCTTTATGCCATTAAATTTGAACTTTGGTTTTCTAGTAGCCTTACCACCCCTAGGAAAGAAAATGACATTTATTTTTTCATTGTTAAACTCTATATTTTCTTCTCTACTCCAGTTCATAAAATTTTCCTCTAAACTCTTGAAAGTTTTTTCGAGTTTCTCTAACGAGTCATCATAGACAATAGCCAAAATATCATCAGCAAAGCAGAATAATTCAACACCAGTCATGTTAATAAAAATTTTATTGACAGTGAGGCTCCAGAACAAGGGTGCGCTGCAAGGAGCCTTGAGGACATCCTCTTTCAATATCGTAAACAAGATGGACAGAATCATTTTTATTTTTGAAAACAATCTTCCTATTTTTAGATAATCTTTAATAATTTCAAATAGTTGTTTTGTGATCCCTATTTTCTTCAGTTCAGATAGCATGGACGGCCAAATAATTGAGTCAAACGCTCCACGGATATCGAAAGAGATCAGGGCAACATGATGTCTTTGCTTCTTATCTTTCAAATGAAATAAAACGTTATATAAGGCCAAATCCGTAGACTTGCCTCGTTGAAAGCCATATTGCCTGTCACTAATATAGTTTATTTCTCTTAATTTGTGTTGAATTCTATTTGTAATTAGTTTGTCATAAATTTTTGCATAAGTCTTTAAGAGGCAAATAGGTCTATATCCTCCATTACCTTTTGGAATGAGTATCATTTGACCAATTTTCCAAGCATCTGGAAAAAACACAAATAAAGACATCTATTATATAAAATCAAATGAAATGAAGGAAACTCCTCAAATAATTTCTTAATAAGCCAAACCCCGATCCTATCTAATCCGGAGGCAGAATGGATTCTTAAACACTTAATCGTATAAGAAATTTCTTCATAGATAAAGGCATCTTCAATTCTGTAATCATCTTCCATATTGACCTCCCCTACGATACTTAAATCACTATCCTGCTTTCCATATACGACTTCTTCCACAATTTTCCTATAAATCTCCTCCACGGAAGCGACCCCTATTTCCCGTGACTTGTTTCAAAATCATTTGACTTCTTAACCTTCCTTTTGCAGTCCAATAATAATTATCATAATACTCCTTATTTAGTATAAAGATCCTATTTATATAGTTTCTTTTAGTTTTTTTTAATTTTCTTTTTGTAAATAGCCAAATTTCTTTTGTATTCAATTTTTCTCTTAAGTCTAACATTATCATCGATTAAGACACAATAACACGCCGAATAAATACATTTGCGGTTTTGCAGCTGAGGATGGTGGTTCGGTAAAACCATCGAAACTAGTCCTGTGAAAATTTTGTAAATATAACGCTGATTTTTGTTGTACTTCTGAATTATCATCGATCTTGCTAACCTGGGAACTCTTCCTTAGTGCACGTATAATCCTCCTTTGCTTGTCCAAATCTTGAGTCCACCAACTAGTAATTTGTCTTTGTTTTTTTCTTACATTTCACTTTTAGGTACTTATCCATATTATCGATTAATAATTCTTCCAGTCGAGAAACACACTCATTAATTTCCATTGATGTCTCGCACTTAATTATTCTATCTTCATAGTATTCAATGCTTTTACCAATATTATGAAGCATATGTTTGATTTTTCTTAAGTTTCTACTATAAGCAAAGGAGTAATCATCTTCAATTTGGAAATCTGTCACTCTCATTAAAACATATTTATGATCACTCAGTGGTTCAGCATCTAGAATTTCCATTTCAGTGCTCCTCATTTTTAGTGTCAATGACCCAAGTGCGAGATCAGTCCATCCAACACCCACCTGCAAGGAAAAGGTAGGTCTTAGAATCACTATCATTAAAAAGTTGTAAATCATGTTGTAAAATAAAATCGTTGACTAAAATCCCCCTTTGATCCAAAATCTTAGCCCCCCAGTTAAAACTTTTAATGTTAAAATCGCCAATTATAATAAAATCTTTTGCATATACGTTAAAACCTTCTTCCAGTTCACCAAGGTGTTCATTCAGGTCTTCCGCCGGTCATAAATAAACAGAGGTGGTACTCATTTTAAAGCCTTCCCTTTCTACAGTAATTGTCACAATACAATCGGTGGCCACCCCTACGGAAAACTCAAAATTTTCATTCACAATAATAATGGCCGCTCTTCCGTTATCTGTGTTTATAGTCCTCCATTTACTTCTATATAATACGGTTCCTGCAGCGCAATAATATCTGGGGTATCACTCAAAATTTTATAGCTGAGAGCTGGACTGCTGCAGCAGCACAATGATTTAAATTTAAGTTTAAAATCTTCATATTTAAAACCAAACAAAGCAGTAAAATATCAGTTAAAATCTCAACAATCAAAACAAATTTCAAAAAATTTTAAAAAACCACTCAGTCTGCTCTTCACTGTTAAAAGCTATAGAATGTAAAATCAAATCACTTAAAATTTGTCAATATAATATCAAAAGTCTCTTACCTGACGCGAGAGGTGGGCGAGACAATCAAGATCCAAAAATCCAATATAGTACAAAAATCTTCTTGTAAAAATCAGGAATAGAAGTTTGCAAAATTTGTGAAATACAAAATAGAATCTCTAAAATAAAAAACACGTAAAAACAAGGAAAATTGTCAGTCCCAGCAAAGTGCTAATCCAGCACAATTTTATAATTTTTACATATCCAAGTGATCTCTAATAAAACGTATTTCTTCCAAAAGCACCGGACAATCTTTTGAAAAAACATCATGATCTTCTGCATGTTTGGTACCATACTTCTCATTAATTTTTTTACAGTTGATACAACACTTGGCAGTCAATTTACATTCCAATTTAAAATGATTTAAAGAACAATTACTGCATGCTAATT